CACCTGCAGCTGGCCATCCGCAACGACGAGGAGCTCAACAAGCTGCTGGGTAAAGTCACGATCGCGCAGGGCGGCGTCCTGCCCAATATCCAGGCCGTACTGCTGCCCAAGAAGACTGAGAGTCATCACAAGGCTAAAGGCAAATAGAAGCCAAGAGTAATTTTCAGCAGTCCCAGTGAACTAATCGAGTCCAAACCAAAGGCTCTTTTCAGAGCCACTCACATTTACTGGAAAAGAATGTAACATTCTACGTGGGGGCAGGGGAGAAGTAATAGATTTAATGTCGGAAAAATAGGGGTTAGAACAGGTTTCCCCCCGGGTCCCTGTTTAAAGTGAAACGAGGTATTTAAAGTTGGAAGCCCAGGTAACAAAAAATAAACCACGTGTTAGAATCTGTGAGCAGATCCATTAGGGCCTGTTTAATCTTTCCACAGGCAGCCATTAGTTTCCTCAGTTTTAAGTAGATACAAAAGAAGCTGTGGCTAGAATTTGACAGCTCATAAACCCACTGGCGGCAAGGCCGCCGGCAAGAGCCCGCCGGCCACACTGACTGCGTGAAGAAGCCGCACCGCTATCGGCCCGGCACCGCGGCGCTGCTTGAGATCCGGCGCTACCACAAGTCCACCGAGCTGCTCATCCGCAAGTTGCAGTTTCAGTGGCTGGTGAGCGAGATCGCGCAGGACTTCAAGACCCGCCTGCGCTTCCAGAGCTCGGCGGTGATGACGCTGCAGGAGGCGTGCGAGGCCTATCTTCTGGGGTTCTTTGAGGTCATCAACCTGTGCGACATCCAACTCGCCCCCAGATCGAGTGGAGAGCTTTGTGACACCATAGTTGGCACCTCGCCAAAGGCTCTGTCAGCCACACATTTCTCCTGAGAATAGAAATGTGTGACTCAGTTATGTTTTATAACATACATCCTCAATTCTTTGCTTTACTTTCTGAATTTGGAGGCGCTCTGCTATCCCTCAGTGTAGCTAAATTTACCCACTTAAAATTTAAACGAGTAAAATGTTGGGATGACATCTATAGATACGACACCATCCTGGATCCTGGGAAAGATTTGTGATAGGCCATTAAAATTTCAAATGCAGTTCACTCAGGGAACTTCACAGGATAGTGATTTCTGACAAACCTTAAAACTAGCCAAGACATTGAAAGAAATGTTTCCCAAAACTATTGCCATTCAAACACAAAGTTTTACTAATCAGCGGGATCATAAAACCTCTGTCTTTAAGACCTAGGTGGGGAAAGAGGATTATGGTATGGTTTGACAAGAAACTGCTTACGAGTGTTGGAAGGGGAGAGGTGCAGACTGCTTGGAGCTCCTGTCAGAAACAGGCCTCTGAACAAGGCAGACACGGTTATCTATGGAGGAAGCGTTGTTTAATGAAGAGTCTCAAATCCTTTTTTTGTTGTTATTGTAACCAAATAACCAAATAAGACCATGCCGATGGTCTTTTACTGCCGAGGTTACAGAATCTTGCCTCCTACTTTCTGCTAACTGAATTCCTTCAACTTGGCAATGTTGAATTTTACCTGAACCCCGCGATCCTAGAAAAAAGTATGTTTTAAGAAATCCCCCACGCCCACCCTTTGTGTTCATGGAAAGGCTACTGCAAATAGCCACCCTTCCTGATATGACTTAGATGAGACTAACGAACATGTCTTGTTTACCTATGACAAGGCCGGACCCAGACCCTCCAAATTCCCATGGCTTGTCCCCACCGATCAATCAGAAGCATAATGCTTGTTAACCAAAATTTGCTTAAGTTTCCCTCCTTCCCCTAAGTCCCTGAACCAAAACCCACTCTCATCGTAAGGGTCCTTAAGGACCCCTCTTTAAGGGTCCCTCTTTGAGAATAGGGTGAGGCATAAATCATTCCACTTCGTCTATTATAGATTGAATTGTCTCCCTCATAAGTATGTGTTCTGATTCCTAACTTCTATGTCTGTGATTTTAATCCCATTTAGGAATGAGTTGTCTTTGTTATGTCAGTGAGACAGGATCAGTGTGTAGGGTACATCGTGAGTCGATCTCTTTTGAGATATAAAAGAGATTAAACAAGCAAGCAGCGAGCAAGCAGAGATGGTGTATGGTTGATCCCAAGCCACAAGGAGATCTCCAAGGAACCAGAAAGCAGAAGCTGAAGAGACAAAGGAACCAGGAAGCAGAAGCTGAAGAACAAAGACTTCCCTCCAGAGCCGACAGAGAGAGAAAATCTTCCTCTAGAGCTGAAACTCCGAATTAGGATTTCTAGCCTCCTAAACTGTAGGAAAATAAATTTGTTTGTTAGTCGTCCACTTGTGGTATTTCTGTTATAGCAGCACTAGATAACTAAGACATCCCCACACCTGTTTTTTTTTTTTTTTTCTTCTTCTAGTATTACTTATTTTTGTCTCTAGAAAAGAAAAAAACCTTTAAATCTTGAGATGCTTGCTCAACTTATAATTGGAGTGTTCTCCCTGTTGTAATAGTTCCCCTTCCCCACTACTGTGACAGCCCATTCCCCTTTCCCTCTTTTCTTTCTGAAAAAAGTTTCTACCTCTCTAAATCAGGATTTTTTTTTTTTTTTTTTTGAGACACTGATATAATCCTCAAAACAGAGACTCTTAAACTTTTTTTCTTGTAAATCATGGACACGTTTTGCTGTCTGGTAACTTTTAAGGAAACCCTTCTCAGAGTAATGTCTTAAAAGTCCCCTATAATACAAAGATTGCAAAACATTTGTTATCAAAGTATTTCAAAATAAATTTGATAGAGTGATATGTATGCTTATATAGTTAATACATAATACCATCATTTGGCTTTTTTAATAACTGTCATCAGTAATTTTGGGTTTTTTTTGTTTTGTTTTTTGTTTGTTTGTTTTACCAGTTGCTGTTAAGTCGATTCCGACTCAAGGGATCCCGTGTGTGAGAGTCAAACTGTGCTCCAGAGGGTTTTCAATGGCTGATTTTTTGGAAGTAGATCATCAGCCCTTTCTTCCAAGGTACCTCTGGGTGGACTCAAATCTCCAATCTTTTGGTTAGCAGCCAAGGGAATTAACTGCATAGCCCAAGGATGCCCCCATCCTCAGCACCTGTTACTTTGTTGTTAGTTGCCTTGGAGTTGGCTTCCAACACATGAAAACCACATGTGTGCAGAGTAGAACAACACCTATAGGATTTCCAAAGCTTTTCTGTTGAAAAAAAGACTTTTTATTGAAAAAATGGAAAGCAAAAAAACTTATTCTGATTGACTTATACAATTTACTATTGAAATGCTGTCAGGGGTTCATTGGTCAACAAGGGTGAAAGCGCTGGAAGAATCTCATTGGTCAAGAAGGGTAGTGTCTTAGTCATCTGTTGCTACTATAACACAAATACCACAAATGGATGGCTTTAACAAAGAGAAATTTATTCTCTCAGAGTGTAATAGGCTACAAGTCCAAATTCAGGGCAGCAGCTCCAGGGAAAGGCTTTCTCTGTGGGCTCTGGAGGAAGGTCCGTGTCATCAATCTTCCCTTGGTCTGGGAGTGTCTCAGCGCAGGAACCTCAGGTCCAAAGGATGCACTCTGCTTCCCGGGCTGCTTTCTTCGTGTATGAGGTCCCCAACTCTCTGCTTGCTTCCCTTTCCTTTTATCTCTTGAGAGATAAAAGGTGGTGCAGGCCACTCCCTTTACATTGGATCAGGGATGTGACCTGGGTAAGGGTGGTGTTACAATCCCACCCTAATCCTCTTTAACGTAAAATTACAATCACATAATAGAGGACAACCACACAACACTGGGAATAATGGCCTACCCAAAATGATGTACACATTTTTGGGGGGACAGAATTCAATCCATGACAGGTAGCTTGCTTTACAGGAAAGCTAGACTTAAGTTTCGATAAATACAAGTCTTCGGGGTGTTGTCCACTCGCCCGCAGATGTCATTTTGTCAGCCACAGGACTCCTTTATTATTTCATTTAACAGTGTTCTCTTTTGGATGGCTGGATTAGTTTCCTGGGGCTGCCATAACAAATTGCCAACAACTGAGTGGCTCAAAACAACAGAAATTTACTCTCTCACGGTTCTGGAGGCCAGGAAGTTCAAAATCAAGGTGCCAGAAAGGTTGGTTCCTTTTAGAGCCTCTGAAGGAGAAATTTCCCCATGACTCTCTCCCAACTTCTGGTGGTTGCTGGCAATACTTCCTTGGTTTGTGGCAGCATTACCCCAGTCTCTGGCTCCATCTTCACATGACCTTCTTCCCTGTGTGTGTGTCTCTGTGCCCTCTCCTCGTATTATAAAGATGCCAGTCATAAGATTTAGGGTTCATCCTAAATCCAGGGTGATTTCCTCTACGATACTTATTATATCTGCAAAGACCCTGTTTGCAAATAGGGTCTTTTCTTAACGGGAGCTCCTGGGTGGTGCAGTTAACATGTTAGGTTGCTAACTGAAAGATTGGAGGTTTGAGTCCACCGAGAGGCACTTTGGAAGAAAGGACTGGTGATCTACTTCCAAAAAATCAGCAGTCGAAAAAACCCTATGGAGCACTATTCTACTCTGACACACATAAGATCCCATGAGTCGGAATCAACTCCATAGCAACTGGTTTTCTTAAGCAGTTCTGAGTTCCGGGTGGACATGAATTTGGGAAGGAGGGGCGACACTATTCTACCCACTACAATGACTCTAAAAAAACTCAGACCAGACAGTATTTGAGCAGAGATTTGAACAAAACCAGAGAAGAAATAATGTTACTCTTTCGGGGAAAGTATTCTAAACAAGAAGATAATGCAAATATCAGAGGCAGTAGCACACTTGAAATGTTTAAGCAAGATCAACAGTGGCATCAATAGGGTAGGTGTCACCCAATGTGGTAACTCATGATGTCACACACACACCCTAACCCCGCCACACACGCACACCCCGCGAAGGGCCAAGCTCTGCGCCCTGCTGCCTGCTCCTCCCAGCCCCGCCCCCCGCCCGCATCCTGACTATCGGGTGATAGGGGTGGTGGGGGTGGTGATGAGTTACCACACTGGTTGACAGGTGACAGCAACCCTAATGACACCACTGCCTTGGCAGCCCCTCTGCCAGCTGAGCCAGCTCGCCTGCTGCCGCCGCTGACCCTGGGGTCATTTTGGTGTCACCTCCCATGTGACGCCACTAAAGATCAAAAAGTTGAAGTAAGTTAAACATCAACTTAAGATCCAGAATGTTTAAAGAAAATCAAGAGCATAGGGAACAGAATAGAAAGTGTGTTCACAGAGGTAGCCCCAGGGCAGATCGTATAGCGCTTTGTATGCCACACCATGAGTTTAAAAATCATTTTAAATGTCAGTTCATAAGAGTTTTGAGCAGATGAATGGCCTAATCTGATTTACATGTCTTTGAAAGTTCATTAGAGCAATTATATAATGGATAGTAAGTTTGGAAGTAAGGGTATAAATTGCAGTAGGCCTTTTGAGAAATCATGGTGGCTGGCCTTAACCAAAAAAAAAAAAAAAAAAACCCACTGACTTTGAGTCCATTCTGACTCATAGTGATCCTAAAGGGCAGAGTAGAACTGTCCCATAGGGTTTCCAAGGACCACCTGGTGGATTGGAACTGCCAACCTTTTTGTCTTAACCACTAGCCACCAGAGCTTTTGCCTTGGCCTAAGGTAGAGGCTATAATAGACATTGGTTAGATACAGTATGTATTTTGCATGTATAACTAATAAAATTTGTTGCTATATTTGATGTGTTCTGTGAAAGAATAAGAGGATGCAAGCAAAATACTGCATTTAAACTGAGGTTATCTTGATAATTCAGCTATCATGTTACAAAAGAGTCTGAGCAGCATTATCACATTTTAATAAAAGATATACTATATGTGTTTATAGAAAAATAATCACACCGTCTATGAATCTCATAAACTATAAATCGTATGAATATTTTGCTAGCCTTATTATTACTTATTATCACTATTTGCTATGCAAAACTCATGAAATCAGATAGAGACAGAGGCTTCTGCGTGGCAGAAATTTTACTGATTTTTAAAGTAAAGTATCTAAAAGTATATTTCATTAACTAACTAACTTATTGAAGCTACCCCTTCTATAAAATATACTGAGCTCTGCTCTTGCTGGTTGAATCAGTTTTGTTTTGTTTTTCCAAACATGTTATGCAAGTTTTCTTCTATTGTGTCAAATAATGATAGGGAGAAGCTTTATTCAGAAAGTAGACGTTGTGGTGGAGTAGAGATGGTATTGGCTCTAGATGTGGTGTTGGCAGTAGAGGTGTTGGTGGATTTGTTTTTAGTAAAAGGGGGAAAAGGGAAAGCAATTATTGTAATAGTAGCGGAGGGGGCCTGCTACACTAGGGAGAACATTCTGTGCATAAGATCCACAAGCATCTCAAAGAGTTAGGGGAAAAGCGTTTTCTTTTATAGAGTCTGACAGTAAATAAGGCTAGAAAAAACCCAGGCGTGGAAAAGTGGGATGAAAGGGTGACATCATTGGACAGTAAATCAGAATGTTTTATGTTGGGATCAGTCTATTCTCCAGGTTGTTGTTAGGTACTGTCGAGTAAATTCTGGCTCATAGAGACCCTATGTATGTACAGCATAACGAAACACTGCCTAGTCCTGCACCATCCTCACAATCATTGCTATGTTTGAGCCCATTGTTGGCAGCCACTGTGTCATTCTGTATAGTTGAGGGTCTTCCTCTTTTTCACTGACCCTCTACCAAGCATGATGTCCTTATCCTGGGACTGGTCCCTCCTGATAACATGTCCAGAGTATGTGAGACAAAGTCTCACCATCCTCGCTTCTAAGGAACATTCTATCTGTGCTACTTCCAAGACAGATTTCTTCATTCTTCTTGCAGTCTGTGGTATATTCCACATTCTCCAGGAGGCGTGGGCCCTTAAAGAGGGGAAATATGTTGGCTCAGGCTGAGGGCAGGCCAAAGTTCAGGGACTTGGAGGGAAGACAGAAGCTTACCTAAAGTCTGGTTAACAAGCATTCTGCTTCTGATTGATCAGTGGGGACAAGCAATTCACTTATTCATTTATGAGGTAAGGAATGGGGATTTGGAGGGTCTGCGTCTGCCCTTGTCATAGGTAAAAAAGAGGCCATCTATGAGTCTTATCTCGGTCATATGAGAAGGATGGTTATTTGCAGTATGCCATTTTCCTCAACACAAAGAGTGGTGTGATTTCTTTAACCATGGCTGTTTTCCAGTATCACAGAGTTTAGGTAAAATTCAGTATTAACAATCACAAGATAAGATAGAAAGTTATTTAAGTATTTTAATGAAAATTTTATCTTTGTTTTTATTTATGTATTTACTTATTTTATGAAATTTAAGTAGAATGCTTTTAAAATACTGTAATGCAGCAATGCTTAATTTAAATTTAAAAAAAAAAAAGAAATCATTGAAATACCCGATAGCAAGAAAATCATTGAATAACAAAGGGGTTACATGCTAATGCTGGAAGGATTAAAATTTCTAAGAATTTAAGCAATAATAAAATGTGTGTAGCTTTTAAATTAAGTATATACAACAAAAAGGTTTTAGATATACTGTTAAAACAAAAATCATATTGCACCAATAATATAAATTGATTGAAGTTTATTGAATAGACTATTTGCAAATTGAGGTAACATTTTGACTCGCAAAAACCCATTGCCGTGAATGAGAGATCATCCAAAGACTCTAATATTGTTACCAAATGCAATGGGTTCGCTGCTTGTACTCTCCTGAAGAATAACTAAGAATTAAGTGGATTTAAGGCAAGGCATAGTTTATTACTCGCAGCGAGTAAGGAGATTGGGTATCAGTCCCAAAGCACTCTCCCCCCGCGGCAAAGGGCTGGAGGAAGTTTTGTTCCACACTCGAAAGGGAACGTCATACATATCCATTACCTTCATACATATTTAAAAGGGGGTCGGGCTAGTATTTGGCACAGAAGTGGCTGAAGGACTTCTCGCTTCTGAAATGGGCTCGGTCGCCGCTCCTTGAGGTATATCCAGTGATTTTGGTTCTTTGGCATGGGTCTTCTGGTTCCTAGGCAATACTTGTTATGGGATGGGGCCATCTGGTGGTCAACCTGGTCGCTTACCGCGCATGCCCAGGATTCTAGTTCTAATTGGCTGATCTGAAAGACAGCTGCAAGCGGGAAGATTAGGAGGAAGCAATTTAAACTTTAATCGCGAGAGAGGTGAACAGTGTTTTCTGGTTGACACCATTCTCCTACAAAAAAATTTTTTAGCTCACATAACTTGTTGTTTAAGGACTTTTCTGTCCCTAGGTGGTCTCAATACCGCATGTTAGCCAATACTGTCATGGAAAAAGGCGGAGAACAGTATTTACATAATAACAATTTACCCTAAAACATACTCTCCAGTCCTACCCTGGAGTTCCTATTTCTCAGAACTGACTATACATAAATAACTCCTCAAAAGTGTCCAATGCTTAAGGAAAAACTGTCTCTACTAAACTGCTATTGTTTGACTTAAAGGTGACTTTAGGAAACCAGTTTGTTCAAGTTTCAAAAGATCCCACTTCCAGGGGAATTAAAACTTTCTCAATAAAAAAGTTAATTATCTATACAAGAAATAAAAACTGGATTATTATAAAGTTAGACTTTTAAAAGATGGTTCTACCCATCACTGGTAAGTAGACATAACAGAAACCGCTGTGGGAATTAAAAACTGGTACACTTTTGGTGGGAGACAACTGAGCAATATACCATAAAGGTTTTAAAATCGTGCATTTTATTACTATGTTATACTAGGAAGTTATATGAGCACCTGGAGTATATTTCCACCAAATATTAAGTGAAAAAATGTCACAAAATTGTATAGCCTCGCGCAAATACTGTTAGAGAAAAAATAAATGTGTATGTGTAGAGATAAATAGATCTAGTAAATAAACTGTTATTTTATTCCCTTTTGCTTTTTTATGTACTATCCACAATGTTATTTACTATGTAATAAGGTTGGGGGGGGGGCACAGTAAATGAGAAAAGAGGGAGGAAAAATGGTCCAGGCCTTGAGAATAAAGGAGCCCAGGTTGTGCAGTGGTGAAGAGCTCAACTGCTAACCAAAAGGTGGACAGTTCGAATCCATCAGCCGCTCCTTGGAAACTCTATGGGATAGTTCTACTCTGTCTTATAGGGTCGCTCTGAGTTGGACTAGACGGCAACGGGTTCGGTTTTTTTTGGTTTAGGATAAAAAGAACTGACCGTGAACCAAAAGGAATAAAGAGTAGCACAGCAGGCTTCTTCCCCTTTTTCATCCCCTCCCCCAGCCTAGAGAGACTTCCCGCCACCGCTCTTTCGGTTTTCATTCTGGTCCGCAAGAGATTGCCTATAAAAGGAAGCTGCTAGGTGCTATCGACAGTTTGTTCTCCGGTTGTTTGAGAATGTCTGGACGTGGCAAAGGTGGTAAAGGCCTGGGCAAAGGGGGCGCCAAGCGTCACCGTAAGGTTCTGCGCGACAACATCCAGGGCATCACAAAGCCTGCCATCCGGCGTCTGGCTCGGCGTGGTGGCGTTAAGCGCATCTCTGGCCTCATCTACGAGGAGACTCGCGGGGTGCTCAAGGTCTTCCTAGAGAATGTGATCCGCGACGCCGTCACCTACACTGAGCACGCCAAGCGCAAGACGGTCACTGCTATGGACGTGGTCTACGCGCTCAAGCGCCAGGGGCGCACCCTCTACGGCTTCGGCGGCTAAATGACAGCATTTTACCGCCCTATATCTTGCTAGAAAAACAAAGGCCCTTTTTAGGGCCCCCAAACCTTCATTTGAAGGAGCTGTAGAATGTTTACGTAGCTGCTACTTACTGAAATAGCCTTAAATGCTCCCAAGGTAAAGTCTGGGGTGTCCAACCTGTGTAAAAATCTGCCAGCATCCTCTGAGGCTGGGTTAGAGCCCCTGTTCAGTTACGTCCCTGGTTGACAGTTGGAACTATTTCTGCCATCTTTTATTTCATTTTGGGTCCTTTCCCCAGTTAAGAAAGTCTTTGAAGTCGCTTGGTTTCTGCATTCGGCCCTTCCCAGCACTCCTTGCCTACCCCGAGTCCTGAGTATATTTATTGTACGTTCCTCAAGGAGAAAAGATGGAATCTGAACAAAGGCAACAGGTTCCACTGATAAAGGGCGGGACCCTTGACAAAATCTTTAGTGTGAGGTTAAGGGACAGTTATGGCAGAAAGCTCTTGAGTATTCGAAATCATGCATCTTCCATTTGTTTCATTTTTTCCCTACATTTAACCACTACTGTAGGAGCCCTGGTGGCGCAGTGGTTAAGAGCTCAACTGCTGACCAAAAGGTCGGCGGTTCGAATCCACCAGGAGCTCCTTGAAAATCTTATGGGGCAGTTCTACTCTGTCCTATAGGGTGGCTATAAGTCGGAACTGACTCGACGGCAACTGGTAAGACACAACTGGGGCAGTACTAAAAGTGAATATACTCTAAATATATGCTTATCTTTTGGTACGATTTTAAATACTGAGTATACAAAAGGCTAATGAACACCACACCTCTTAAAGTCAATATTACAGTGTAATCTCCCTATGTCCTTTCCCAATAGCATAGTCCTCCCCTCTCCCTACCCTGGAATTAACCAGCGTCCTGAATTTGGTGTTTATTTTTCCCATGCATTTTTTTTTAACTATATGTACATACCCCTATACAATAGACAACATCATTTTGCATGTTTGGAAAACTTCAAAAAAATATATTTCTGTTCATGTCTTTGTGAAACATTTGTTTTTCTCCATTTGCTTTTGATATATATGCGTTGAAACATGTAATTACAGTTTATCTTCATCGTTATTAGGTTTTCTAATGCCTCAAACCAAACCAAACCCGTTGACTTCGAGTGGATTCCGACTCGTAGCGATCCTAATGCCTCAATAGTACATAATTTATTTACCCATTTCCTTGTTAATGGAGATTTAGATTGCTTTATTTATCCCCCCACAGACGGTGCTGCATTGGGCACTACTGTACACAGCTGTGAACTTCCTTTAGTTAGCGTTTCTAGTCGTGGAGTTTCTTGGTAACATATTGCATATTCAACATGAATAGAAATGGACAATTTGCTTTCTAAGTTATTTTAAGTTTACACTCTCATATTCCACCTATACTGCTTGAGACTGACTTCTTGTTACTCTATATCTTCATTACATTTACAAATATCAGACTATAATTCCTTGCCTGTCTAATGATTTGTAAAATGGTATCCCACTGTGGATTAATTTGTGTTTCTCTGATTATAATGAGGTTGCTTTTTCTTTCCTGTGATTTTTTTACTATTTCAGGTTTCCCCCTTTCTAGGAACAGCTTGTTCATATTATTTGCTCGTTTTTATTTTCTGTGATTTTTTTGTTTCATAATTTGTAAGTATTCTCTATACTTACTTTTAACTCTTTGTTAGCATGTGGCAAATACATTCCATCACCTTGTGAGCTGGCTTGTTTTTAAATCTCAGTGGTATCTTTGGATGTTCAAAAATTAATTTTAATAATGTTGAACTTCTATTTTTAATGGTTTTTGAGACTGTTGCCTTTTATATAGTATATAGGAGCTATTGTCCCCTCTCACCCCTAAAGAGCCACAGACATCAATGGGCAGAGAAATTTCGACTGCTTATCTCATCATTTGGCTTGAATTGAAGAGAAAAGCTTTTCTGAAATAGCTGTAAGAATAGCATTAAGAAAGAGCTGAGGAAGCTCTGGTAACAGATTAATCTTCCTAGTTTCGAATAAACAATGATTAACTGAGTACCTAAAATCTGTAAAGCATTATGAGAGACAAAAAAAAAGTAGCAAGTGAAAGGAGATAAATACCTAAAATATATTGAAAGTCCATTCAAATTTGTGCTATGTTCTGCATGCATTATCTTGTGTAATATTTAGAACAATCTTGTGAGATGGGTTTTATTAATTAGTTTACATTTAAAAATGGATTCAGTTATTGGATAATGTTTAACTATGCTTGGAACTACATTGGTATGTGAATCCACTTGTTTCACTGCAAATTTAAGAACTTTAAATATAGATCAAGTATTTTCAATGAAAATTTAGAGTTCAAATTTTGATGTAAGTGTAAAATAGATAAAGGATTTTGAAGACTTAAAATAAAAATGCAAAACAAATAAATTTTGTATTGATCATTTGTTTAAATAATAAAGATTTTGATATATTGACCTAATAAAATACGTTATTAAAATTAATTTCACCTGCTTCGTTTTACGTTTTAAAAAAATGTAGTTACTAGAAAAATAAAAATTGCATATATATTTCTATTGAGCAGTGTTGTCTTAGAGTAACAAACTGGACTTAAGTTTTCAGCTCCAGGTACAGTAATTGGGAGTAAAAAAAAAAAAAAAAAAAACCCTACTAGGGAAGAATGGAAAAGCAAGAGAAGAAACCAAATGAAGAATAAATTTCATTTTCCTCCACTTATATTCCTGAAGATATAGATAAGGACGTCTTTCAACATATACCTCAGGTGGTATTAAAAAAGCACTGTGACATAATGTATTACAATTCTCATGGAATTCTTTTCTCATGGAATGGTGAAACTTCTTCATTTGTATTAAGCATTCAGAGTAAAGAAAGATTTTTTTTTAAAAAAAAAAAAAAAGCGACTGCCATCGATTTGGGTTTTGGAAGTAGACCAACAGGTCAACAGGCGTCTTTGGGTGGACTCTACTCCAGAGAAAGATCAGGTTATCATCTTAGATAAGTTTTCCCTAACTCAACTGAGGAAAGCCAAGCCATTTTCTTAGACACATTGACCACATTACTTCAATTTTTCGACCTAAAGATACTTCTAACAGAGACCAAATATGCCCCTGCTAAATCATTAACCACAGTTAAAATAAATCTCCATGTTTTGATCCCAAAACTACTCGGTTTCTCACAGAACAGGAGCATCTGAAGCCTTAGTGGGTGGAGTTCCTGGCAACAATGAATGAACTCTCCTCTCTCTCTCTGGCCAAGATGTGTAAAAGCCAGGGTCTGAAGGAACAGTTGGGCCATTATAGGTAAAAAGGATGTGAATTAAATCATTGAAATTTTCCCCAGTGTTGATATAGCTCATAGTCCTAGATTTAAGTGTAAGTGCCAAGGACTCAGTTTAGGGTAGATGGTTTAACTTGCGACTACAGCTATTTTTCAATAATTATGGATAATGAGTGCTAAAAATCCACATAATCACATGATCATTTAAGGGAACTAACTATTGCCAACTGGATTGCAAACCAGTAGAAACCTATTTAAAAAGAACTGTAGTTACTGTTCTTCACACACACCCCCACCCTCCCACCCCACCCTGCTGTCTAAGCTTTTATCCAAGTGTCTTAGTCATCTAGTGCTGCTATAACAGAAATACCACAAATGGATGGCTTTAACAAAGAGAAGTTTATTTCCTCACAGTCAAAGTAGGCTAGAAGTCCAAAGTCAGGGTGTCAGCTCCAGGGGAAGTCTTTCTGTCTCTGTTGGCCTTCTTATCAGTGTTCCCCCAGACTAGGAGCTTCTCGGCACAGGGACCCCAGGCCTGGCACTGCTTTCTTGATGGTATGAGATCACCCTGTCTCACTGCTCACTTCTGTCTTTTATATCTCAAGAGATTGCCTCAGGACACAAACTAGTATTGTAAATCCAGTCCTGCCTTACTAACACAACTGCCACCCATCCTCCCTCATTAGCATCATAGAGGCAGGTTTACAACATACAGGAAAATCACACAGTACCAGGAATCATGGCCTAGCCAAATTGGTAGACACATTTTTGTGGGGACATAATTCAAACCATGACACCAAGGGATTATTGGTATTTCTTTATTGGATTAAAGGGCATGATGTATTAAAATACAAGAATTTAGAACAAGGAGAGAGGGAAAGAGATAAATAAGGCAGTTTTCCGCCAGTACTAAGCAGGTGATAGACTGACCTGTTCAAGTGTTATTCAGGAGGCTGTAACCATTGCCAAACTGGATTCCTGTGGTTCAGTGTTACACAGGAATTGTTTTACAGCATGAACTACCTAGTAGAAAATGAATTGCTTTAGGATACAGTACATATAAAAATTTAACACATTCAACTTTTTAATAACTTTAAAAGAGAAAACAAAATAGTAAGTTAAAAAAGCTTTCTTTTTCTTCCAAATTAAGTAACATTAATATATACGGCTAAACAGGAAATAAATGAGAAACAGGTATATACTATAATGAAAAAAAAAGGTATTTTAGTAATAATTTGAATCTTATTTAGTATATAGTAATTGAGCAAATTATTTAAGCTCAGTGCTTCCTACTTGCAAAAGAACAGTGATTTAAACTTTGTGATTCCTTCTACTTGTTAAATTCTGAGCTATCTGGAAAAACAAAATGAGATCTGTGTAGAGGGCATAAGAAAAGAGGTGATAGTGAAAGCAGGAGAAAGTCATGGCCACTTCCACCTGATATTTCTATTAAAACACAATGCACTTGCAAAATTTTGGAGCAAGACAAAAAAGGTCTGAAAGTAAATTTTTGTAAAATCAAGATGAGATATCCATTTGCAAAAATGCTTTAAAGTTGAAAATAATAACAAGACCAAACCATTACAATTGCAGGGTAAAAGATTAATCTAACTGGAGAAGCCAGGGTATACCTGAACATGGACTTCATCACCAAACCTGTTGCCCTAGTGGATTTCTAGTCATGCTGACCCCATGGGTTTGAGTAGAATTGCATTCCATAGGGTTTGCAATAGCTGAGATCTTATGGAAGTAGATCGCCAGGCCTTTCTTCCCTCCGAAAGCTCTATAATCTTTCCCGTTGAATGAAGAAATTGCTGATTGTTATCAGTGTACCTTGAAAATGTTGTCTTAAGAACTAGCAAACTGGTCACACAAGTTCTACCTTGTAATCTCTGGTATTCAGTTTCTTTATTCATAAACCAATCTATGCTTCTCATCTTTCCTTTGCAGACTTTACCCGGGGTGGTGATCGGGAGGGAGGGGGGTTGGAGGTGCGAGCTGTACGAAAGGCAGAAATCACACATCTTAACCCTTCTTCCCCATTATACTACTTCTAATCACATCGCAGCTCAGAGACAACTGAGCTAAAGTGCTGCATTTTGGAAGGTCGTTAGTGGCCAAATTCACTTACAAAAGCAGAGTAGAACCTTGATGGGGGTGGAGGAGGAAGTGGAAAAATAGGCTGTGAGTTTAAAACAGAAAACCACGCCCCCTTCTCATCCTATCATTCTCGCGCCAGAGCCAGGACCCTTTGTATTAAGTTTCCTTGCACATCCCTGGCCTTTTTAAGCGCCCGTGTCCCTTGATTTATACAGAAGTCGCATACAGAGCTCCAATCTAGCCAAAGGTACGAGCACTGTGCGCACTTAGTAGAGTGGAATCCTCACAACCAGCTTAGGGAAATCGCCTGAACTTAAGCCTGGACACTGTTCATGTGTTTACAGCTCTAATGTTGACAACGTTAAGTGGCTCTTAAAAGAGCCTTTGGGCTTCGGAGCAAAGACGCTTGCTCGGTACATTTACTTGGCGCTGGTGTACTTGGTGACGGCCTTGGTGCCCTCGGACACGGCGTGCTTGGCCAGCTCCCCGGGCAGCAGCAGACGCACGGCCGTCTGGATCTCCCTGGAAGTGATGGTCGAGCGCTTGTTGTAATGCGCCAAGCGAGACGCCTCACCAGCGATGCGCTCGAAGATGTCGTTGACGAACGAGTTCATGATGCCCATGGCCTTGGACGAGATGCCGGTGTCGGGGTGAACCTGCTTCAGCACCTTGTACACGTAGACAGAGTAACTCTCTTTGCGGCTGCGCTTGCGCTTCTTGCCATCCTTCTTCTGCGCCTTGGTCACCGCCTTCTTGGAGCCCTTCTTCGGTGCCGGAGCTGACTTAGCTGGTTCAGGCATGGTAAGGTGAACTATGTGAGTCTCAGGAAGGAGAAAAAGTGCAAGTATAGGACGATGTATCCTCTTTTATAGGAGCCTGTTATGCAAATGAGATGATGAGTTAATACCCTGTGTCTGATTGGTGGTTATTCAGCCCGACGACAGAAGTTAGTTTTGCCCAATCAGAAAAAGCTAAATTCAATATCGCACTTCCATTGGTTAAATGAAGCTGCAATTTTAACCAATGACACATCTTTTTTTTCGCGCCTAACAATGGTTATAAAAAGTGTTGCCACTGCGCTTTCACTTTAGCAGTGACTTGTGATTTTGTTAAGACTGAGATGTCTGGGCGTGGGAAACAGGGCGGGAAGGCTCGCGCCAAGGCCAAGACTCGGTCTTCTCGCGCCGGCCTCCAGTTCCCCGTGGGCCGTGTGCACCGCCTGCTCCGCAAGGGCAACTATGCCGAACGGGTCGGGGCCGGCGCGCCGGTGTACCTGGCGGCGGTGCTGGAGTACCTGACGGCCGAGATCCTGGAGCTGGCGGGCAACGCGGCCCGCGACAACAAGAAGACGCGCATCATCCCGCGCCACCTGCAGCTGGCCATCCGCAACGACGAGGAGCTCAACAAGCTGCTGGGCAAAGTCACGATCGCGCAGGGCGGCGTCCTGCCCAATATCCAGGCAGTGCTGCTGCCCAAGAAGACCGAGAGCCACCACAAGGCCAAATAAAGGAAGGTTGGAAACGCTGGAAAACAAAGGCTCTTTTCAGAGCCACCTACACTATCGAAGAAAAAGCTAGTACACAATCTCTACTGCACTTCTAAAAATATCTTACTGTGTTTTAAGTGAAAGTTTTACATAGTAAATTAGATTCCCATTTAGCAATTTTTGAGTAGACTCGACGACAACGATTTTTGTACGAATTGTTCCGTGACATATGACAATGTGTCAGCATTCTCAATACTTCCATTACTTTTGTTCTGTTTCCATTGACTCTAGCTTCCCCTTCTTGCCTTCTCATCTTTGCTTTTGGGTGAATGTTCACCGTTTGGCCTCATAGTTGATCTTTTGCGTTTTATATTTTGATGAAGATTGTATAATAAAGTACTCCTTTCCCCTCAGGATTGAGTGGAGTAACTCATCTCATGTGATCTGATCTACTGAAAGGACAAGTACTAGTAGGCCTAGGAGAGTACTGGATCAACCCAGGGTGATCTCTGAACCCACCTTGTAATTCTGGTTTGATAAAATCATTTGTAGTGTTCTCAAGCAGCCAAAGTAAGAGCCAAAGAACTTGGAAGATAAAATTGCTGGTGTAAATTGATACTGCTTTACTGAGCAAAAGGTAGTCATAGTCACAGACTTAACACTTGAAGTCAATGCCTTCTGTACTTTAGATACACGAAAACTCAATAAATTGACATAGTTATCAGACTAGAATTAAAGTGGGTACAGGGAGTCCTGTTTGATTTGATCTGGTACTTCAGCTACATAAGTTGTAGCTCTGGGACATACTAGGCCCTGGCAGTCTCAGTTGTCTCTTCAGGGTATCAGATTGCAGAAAGAGATAATATTAAAGGTATTACAACCCCTTCCCCAGGGGGAAGGAGCACTGTGTTATGTAATCTCTTTCTACCCTTTCCCCACACCCTGAATAATCCATGGACTCACCACCATTATTGCTAGATCGAGAAGCAAATAGGTTCTCCTTTTGTCTTGGCCTCTACTCTATTCTCTGGCTGGAAATAATCAGAACCTAGCTGGCAAGAAAAAAAAAAAAATTAAGGAAATGTAATTTGTAGTCTTCTAGCCTTTGGGATACAGAGGAAAGTATAGAAGCATGAAGCTGGGATGGAGAGACAACACACAAAAAAGCAAAGGGTTCACCATGTTCTTTGCTGATCATCTCTACCTTTCCAACTTCTTTTCTGCTTTGCTCTTTCTTTGATCACTATCCTGTGATCACAGGGGATTGTTATTTCTAGAACATGTTAAATTTCTTCCTATTCCAGAGGCTTTTCGTTTGCTATTTCCTAGGCCCAGAGTACTTTTTGATCACTCATTTTTCAATTTTCATAATAATTCATCTTCTCTGTGAGATGCTTTCTGATTCCTAATTTACATTACGCCTGCTGACACTATTCTCTTTTACTAGACTAGGGTCTTAAAGTCCATGTCAATTATTGCATTTTAGAAATAAATATCTTATTTGTAGTTTCTTTTAACGCCTGTAAACTTCAGTAACATGTAAATTAGAAGGGGTCAGTTTGTTAACCAGGGTCCCATCAGGAAAGGGGTGGCACTCAAGTTGGGTACTTTGAAAGCTATTGAATAGAGAATCTATCTGCCAAAGGATGAACAAGGTATTTAGGAAGCCACAAGGGATATTGGAGTAACCTGGGGCTAGTATCATCCAAAACCACCTGTTGCCAGTCAGAGTTGAACTGCCCCACAGGGTTTCCAAGCCGACTGCTATGTCTTCCTCCCGCAGAGCAACTGGTGGGTTCAAACCACCAACTTTCCAGTTTAGCAGTCAATTGCTTTAACCATGACACCACCAGGGCTCCTTAAAACCAAGCTCTTTGTGCCTGACCTTTCCCATGTTAGGCAAACGTGCTAACCTCTGCACTAAGGGCCTAAAGGGCGATAGGAGGGAGGGAAATTTGGAGACCAGAAAGTTCCTTCCTCTGCTGATCTGCTTTTACTTCCAACTGGCCGAATTCAACCAGAAGCCAGAGGATAAGGGAGTCCATCCATATAAAGGCTGGCCTCTTGGGGACACAAGATGAAGAAAGAAGAGGAAGAGTGAATCTGAAATAGTCCACTCCTTTTGTCCTTTGGCATTTACTCTTAACCTTTTCCTAGGTGAAAATTTGCATCTTCAACCTGGGAGGCATGAAATCACTCCAGCTCATGAAGTGATATCAATTAATTCATAATCCCACCTGAAACCTAAAATGTTATTCATCACCTTCCTAGAAGGTACTGGGGTAAACAGTAGGAAACAATTTGTTAACACAATACAAAGCTGCTATGGACTTAGCTTCTGTAGCCAACTACAAAGTTTGAGTTAAAAATCATATTGTGTGCTGTCAAGTGCATTCTGACTCATAGTGACCCTGTAGGACAGACTAGAACAGCCCCATAAGGTTTCCTAGGCTATAAATCTTTACTGGAGCAGATCGCCAGGTCTTTTTTTCTACAGAGCTGCTGGTGGGTTCAAACCACCAACCTTTCAGTTAGCAGCTGAGCTCTTAATCATTGCACCACCAGGGCTCCTTAATGTAGTAATCGTAGCTCCCTTCTAAAGCTAATTCCTTGTTACCCCTACCTCTGTCACTACCTTGGTGGGATTCTTTACATGATGATATAGTGTAATTTATGCCTTTGTTCCCGTGATATCTGTGTTCTTGGTTACGTTTCTTTATAGCTTTGCCGCAATTTTTTATGGACCAGGACTTGTGGGCAAACAAATACTTACGAGATTGCCCTTGTGTCCAGTAGTATCCTCTTTGCCTCCTTTAGAACCCTATTGTTGTTGTTAGTTGCCTTTGAGTAAGCTCCGACTCATGGCAACCTTATGTGTAACAGAACGAAACATTGCCTGGTCCTGTGCCATCTTCATGATTGTTGGTTTGAGTCCATTGTTGTGGCTATTGTGTTAATCCAGCTCATTGAGAGTTTCTCTCACTTTTGCCGACCTTTTGCTTTACCAAACTTGATGTCCTTTTCTAGAGACTGGTTTTTCCTGATTACGTGTCCAAAGTAAGTGAGCCAAAGTCTCACCATTCTCACTTCTAAAGAAGCCATTTTTAAAATAAAGAATAGTTGTCATCAGAGTAAGGTGTAGCCTTACTCTAAATCGCCAGGTGTGATACTCTTTATGAGCTTTGCAAGAGTCGCCTTAGAGCATTGGTTCTGCTGTGTCATAGGGCCCAATAGCAGGGCATTTGCACTTCAGACTGGACCTTCTGCAGAGCCCTTTTTACTCTGGGCCCTACTGAAAACTACCAAATCTACAGATTATCTGGTAACTGGTGAGGGTAGCATGCCCAAATATGGTAAATGTTGTTTCTACAATCCAAAGAGGCCCACCCAGCACTTGGCCTCTATCTTAAACAGGGAGTTTTGAGGTACAACAACTTGTTTCTGACTTTGAGGGAATATCCTGAAATATGTCAGATCACCAGACCCCTATAAACTTCTCTGCAGCAGGCTCTTTAATTTTCATAGTTTTAATCTCCAAACTCTGGTTTTCACATCTCTTACTAAGGCATCTAGTATACTTGCTATTTTCTGCTCACCAATACCAACTACCATATTGTTGTCATTGTGATGCGCCAGTATGATAGTCTGTAGGCCATTAAGATGGTCATTGTTCCTCTGGAATACATGATGATAGGACAATTTTCAGGGCCCTTTGGTAAACAGTAAGAATGTAATTTTTTTCCATCTGAAAGCAAATAGTATCTAGTTTTATTTACTAATTGAGATTTTTAAAAAATATTTCCTAGGTTCATAATTGGTACTAAACCCATTGCCATTGAGTCAATTCCAACTCATAGTGATCTTATAGGACAGGGTAGAACTGCCCTATAGGGTTTCCAAGGCTGTAAATCTTTACGGAAGCAAACTGCCACATCTTTCTCCTGTGGAGCAGCTGGCGGGTTTGAGCCATGAACCTTTTGGTTAGCAGCAGAGCATTTAACCACTGCACCACCAGGACTCCTTGTACTAGATATTAGATGTCAGGATTTTCAGACCTTTCCTCCTGCCCCGCCCCCCTCCCCCGATGAATCATACCTGACCCTGCAGTGGCATTTGCTGTCAATACCTGATTAAGTTTGCAGTAATCTACTCTATTACTCATCCAAATTTTGCATTAGCCAAACAGGCAAGCAAAATGTGGATATGGTAGGAATCAATATACCTGCATTCTTAAGTCTTCCATCATTTCCCCAAGAACGTTGTCTTGCTTTGGATTACTGTCTTGATCAGAAGGTGACAGTTCCAGTGGCTTGCACTTTGCCTTTGCTACCATAATAGATGTTATTCTTCATGTTAGGGATTCACTTTGGTGATTCTGCCTGATACTAAATATGTCTATTTCCATTATACATGCTGAGACTGGGAAGGTAGCCACAGGATGAGTTTTCATTCAGTCACGACCCATATAAAGTTGGACTTTTCCATAAGTTAAAAAAATATGCCTCTCATCAAATGTATAATGAGCATGTGACAAAGATTTATCTAAATCATTAATGAAAGAACCAGGAGGATAGTAAAACTGGTTCAAATAAGGATTAGAGAGAGTGGTGCTGTCAAGGTTGAAAAGACATTGGCTATAAACTAGTTAATGTCCTACAGGGATGTGGATGTTCAGTCAATATTCAGTTATAAAACCGGAACCATTTATAAGCATTATGGAAATAAAGAATTTGCTATAGGAATTTGACCTCAAAGAACTGAGGAGGATGTTGACTGAGAGGAAGAATCATAGGATCAGAGAAATAACTACTACAGTAGCCAGTCCTGCTGAAGCAGGATCTGAGTAAACAAGTCATAAATCAGTTGCCATTGAGTCAATTCCAACTCATGGTGACCCCATGTGTGTCAGAGTAAAACTGTGTTCTATAGGGTTTTCAGTGGCTGATTTTCTGAAATAGATCACCAAGCCTTTCTTCTGAGGTGCTTCTGGGTGGACTCAAACCTCCAACCCTTCAGTTAGCAGCTGAATGTGTTAACCATTTGCACCATCCCACTCCGAACAAGTCATAGCTTACAGAAAAATCCAAGAAGCCAAGACTCTCTGGCTGCTGAAGTCAGACTGTAAAAGAAGGTTGGGTATATGGCATGTGGGTACCGGTATATGAAGATGCTGGCTCTGAGGAAGCAGTGGCCACTGTAAACTGCCACCTCTTTGGGTTCACAGCCAAGTGTTTGGTGATGGGCAGGGGGAACACTGTTGGTCAGCAGGGCCAGCATTCAGGAGACAAATGGGATGAGGAACAAGGGTAGGAGAGTGAAGACAATCTGTGGGCCCCAGGCACCTAGCTGTCTCTTGTTACTAAGTCTGAGCACAACGGCCTTGTGTGAGTGATGGCCTCTGTTTCCCTTCCGTCTTCCAAATCTCACATGATTTCTACTCTTTTCCTAATTTATTCTCTACCATAAAGGAAGAGGATTCTGGAGGACATAGTTCCCAACTTTAGCAAAGCTCTCAAAACGTATTCTAGAATAGGGCAATGTAAAATGTAGCCTTTGTGTTTATCTTTTACACTGAACAGAATTCATTTTCATCTCTAATGGACAAAAATCATTAGAAATTTATCAATCATTTACAAATGAACATCTAACTTTACAGAGTCTGAGCCATAATTAATAGTAAATAGTTGTTACACAATGCACTAGTCTGATTTGGAAAGGGTACACAGTAGTTTTCTTACGTTATTCCTAAGTTTGGATACTTTCTGTAGACATAGAAAAAAACAATAGCAACTCTCCATAAATAGCACTGATTCTTATATCTGGCCATCAATTTTTCAAGGCAAAAGAAAT